GAGGTTGAGTGTGACAAAGGTGACAGCTGCTTAATGGAGGGATGGGGCAAGAGAAGGACCAGATATGAGAGAAGTGGATAAGGGAAAGGAGGAGCAGGCGCCTTCAAAGTGCGGCCACGTAAGATGACCTCAACAGCCATATTTTTAGCTGTCTCGCACGTGGTTATCAAGCACATATCCTGTCCTCATATACTTGGCAACCTTTTGGTAATTATTGGGCCTTTTCTTGTTTTTCACTCTCATGCTGTGAAATTAATTAAAAATGATAACGTCAAAACAGCAGCCATGGCCTTCTCAAGTCTATTAATACTTGGTGCTAAGGCAACACCGCCGAGCTACCTAGCAACACAACTGCACACTTGCCCCAATGAATCTGTCAAGTCCTCTTCCCATCCACATTCTGCCTCTGCATTATTTTGAGAGCGAACCAGCCAAATAAATATAAATTTCATTTACATTTTAAGGCCTGCCTCTACACTGCGTGCCTTTACGCAGGGGTTTCAGAATACTTTTAAGGAGAAAACTGGCAGTCATGCAAACCGCCTACTTGATACAGAATCCCACTTATTTAGAGCTGTTTGCTGTCCCATTTGTAGTCACCATCCCTGAACCCCACGGCTGGCTATAAATAGGGCAGGATGTGACAGATCACTCTGGGAAGTATGCTCCGTTTTGAGCCCAATGGGATAACTTTTTTCCTTTGAATGAAACATGTGACGCACTTCCCAGAAAACCCGGCGCTCAGGCCCAGACTTGAACTATTTGGACACTGCAATAGCAATACTGAAGTACTCTGGCTTTCTAGCATCAGGTTGGGGAAAGAGGGAAAGACCTACCTGAAATGTTGCAAAGAGACAGAGGAACTCGGCGTATTACACTATGGAGCACTTCACTGCTTTCAAAACTACTTTGAAGAGCATAAATAACCAAGTAAGGAGCAATAACAAGAAGTGACAAAAGCACTGACTTCTCAGATGCAGCAGTACTGGTATTTGGTACTCTGTGCTCAAGGGTTTACTTAGGAGCTGCACATTTTATATTTTCTTGTGGAACAAGCTGGAACACTAGAGAATTGCATTTGAGCTTCAAGTGTCCAGGCATTCCCAAGGAGTGGCGTCTCCTTCCCTCCCTGCTCTGCGCTTGCAGCGCGTCCTGCGTTTTGCTTACGCTCCTGGGTTATGTGCCAGCCATTACAAACAATCCAAATAGTTCACTTAAAAGTAATATCATTTGGTCTTCCAAGACCTTAAAAAAAAAAGAGAGGAAGAGAGAGAGAGAAAAGAAAAGGAAAAAAAAAGAACAACGCACAACCCCCCTCCAAGAGGTGACAGAATTTGGCTCTTGGTCCTGAAAGAAAGTATTTTGGAGCCAAATGTCCTCAGCTCTCAGTCATCTTTCTCTTCAGTCTGACAAAAAGAAAGTCAAATGCTTTCAAAAATAACTTTTGAACCTCAAACTTCTTTTTTTTAATTATTATTATTATTATTTTTAATGGGAAACTGGGAATGCTCTCCAGGCCAGGCCATGTAAATAAATACATTCCTTGTTCCAACAGGCTCGGGGTATCTTAGCAACGAGGGAAATATCAGATAAATACTGGTCAGGCAGCAACAGAAGAGGTAGGAAAAAATCCCCGCAAACCCAGCCCAGCGCACGTAGAGCCGCAGCCTTTCCCCGCGCCAGGTCCGTGTTGGATGAGGCTGCGGCAGCGGCGACCGGCGCGGCCGGGACCGGCAGCGTCCGGGTGACCCGGGAACAATGACCTCCTGTCCTGCCAGGGCTGGGGAGCAGCTCTGTTCCTCCAGCCAGGAAGGAACCAACTCCCTTTCCAAATACCGCTCTCGTGGAGGCAACTCATCCTCTTTGGAGGGAGGAACGGGAATAGAAAGAGCCGGCCACCACACCCTCCGCAGGAGCCTGGACATCCCCGTGGTTTTTCGGGCTGTGTCTGGGACAAGGAGAGGTCTTGGTGGCTCAAGTTCACCCAGAAGGTTACACGAGCCCCAGGGGAACGGGCACCGACTGTTGACCCACAGGCCACTCACAGGTGAGGAGAAACTTCGTAGAAGCTGACACCGCGGTACCGCTCCATGTGCTGCTTGCTGTAGATTTCCAAGTCCTTGTATGGATTGACGGACACCAGAACTGAGCCAATGTATGTCTGGAAAACAGAGCAGAAGGGGAAGTGACTACACGAGGACCAGCCCACAAGCGCTCTGAGGTTGACAAGGACTCCCTGAAGCAGGTTCTTCTGCTAACAACCTCCAAAGAGGCTGAAGAAGCCACCCCCCAGCACAGAAAACATGGTGTTGGAGGCGATACGCTGGATGTGTCATCCTGGCTGGAAACACAGTTCCCATGGACAACTTTAGTCCTTCTAACCAGTGAGGATACTGGATTACTTCTCATCTATCGCTTGGGATCAAGTTCTAGCCTGGGGTTGTTGAGCGCTCACCACCATAGATTCACACACTGCAAGAACCTGGTGCACATTGCATTTTCAGTACTGGCAAAACTGCCAAGCACCAGCAGGTCTCAGCTGGAGTGCTGCAAATGAGGTCCTGCACATGTGAACACGCCACTAGCCCAGGCTAGTTCTGCATCGAGCAGGCGTGGGCTACAAAAGCTGAGACCACCACCTCCAAACCCCTCCGAGTGCAGAGCAAAGCCCCAGCAAACGCCCAAGTGCAGGTCGCTGATGAGCACTCTGCCTTCTGCCCCGCTGCTACTCACATAGATGAGGTTCTCCTTGAACCGCTTCCGCAGGTTTTCAATAAAAGCTGCTTCGCTGGTGAAGTTCTCCAGCAGGACAAAGTCCTGCACTCCCACGCGGTCGCGGGCCGTCAGAGCGCTCTCCATGGTTATTCGGACACCGTCGCTTCCTGCTCCCTGCAACCAAAAGCAGAGGAAGGTTGAGACGTTTGGGATCCTCTGTGCAGCTCATGCAGCCTGCAAGAACCGTTACTCAGGGACAACCTGTAAGTAGGAGAGGATATTAGAGCAACCGCCCTGCTGTTGAAAATGCCACTTGATGTATTTTAGCATTATCAAATAGTTTATACTAATGGCTTTAATGGAAGACAAGCCAGTATTAGGGAAAAAGGTATTGCTAAATTTTAAATCACTACTTAAAAACAAACAAGCAAACGAAAAATACCCCAAAATCCTGAGCCCCAAGCATTTCACAGAGACTAATACTAAGACCTCCTTTCCCAGGCATCCTCCAGCAGGAGTGAGACTGAGATGAACTCTCAGCTCTTCTTTTTCTTTCTCATTTCATACTGGGAAGTCATTTTTAGGTAAGGAATCTTTCATGACTAACAGTGATGATTCATCTTATGAGCAAACAGCTTCACACTGCTGACCAATCTAAATGCTCTAGCAAAATACCCAATGGGAACATCCTGGGAAAACTGAGAATGGACCATTATTATATTCCAAACCACTGTTATGAATTTAGTTTGGGATCCCACGCATCAAGCAACGTCTGTTCCTTGATGCTCCCTTTAAAAAGCCACATTTTTCAGTGCAATGTGGTTCAGAGAGAAGCATCTTCGGAAAACACAACTGCCGACTTCCCACTTCATTCAGCCTCACATATTAAAATAGGAACAGGAAATGTGCACCACGAGACTCCATCACTCTTTGCAGGGAGAGTTTTTAGTAATAGCACCAAGACCCACTGGACCTGTGATAGGCGACATGCAAGGCAAAGATGAGACACCACAGAAAACAGAGACAAGAGATACAGTTATTAATTTGCCTCCTATCTGCCTGCAAGCTCTCCTGTTTCCTTGCAGTATTTTAAAAATTGTTCTTTCTTTGAAAATTCTTCAGAACAAGCACCTTTCTCCAAAGCACTAATACGATTTGGAGCTGTTATTTCCTTGGCTATTTTCATCCCTGGCAGGAACCACTGCAGCAGCCTCCTAAGGGTATCTGCTAGTGCGGGTGCCCCAAGTCATGCTGTATTGCAGCAGCACCGGTGAGTAGGAACGCAGGAGCCCTGCTCAAACACTACTTTCCAGCCCCAAAATCCTGTGCAATGATACAGATGATTTTTGCAGACTCACATTTTCAGGGCCTTTTTGCTCCTTCTTAAGATATAAGAGTGGTTAGAGCACAGGGACTGCTGCTGTGCAGGGGAAGTAATATAAAATAAAAAAACTTTGGTCAGAAGAAATTTTAACTTAAGATTTGTTTTATTAAGCATCTTACATTGGGGAAAGAAATAGGGATAAATCATGTACGAATAACTCAGGCTGGAGATCAGAAGGCTTCTACCAGAGCAGTGCAGTTCTGGAGCAGCCTTTGGACAAGGTAATGGGAACAGAAGCAAAACCAAAAGAAAATAACTAGTTCTCAAGTGGGTAAGTTTATGAATACAGTTTCAAAACACAGCTGCCTGAAAAATTACCGAGGGGAACCTTCAACTCTCGCACAGTTAATCCAAGTTTATATAATTCTGCAGACTTTCACCGAAAACGTCACTTTGCAGTTTCAGCAGCCCTTTCATCAGCTTCTCCTCGGGACAAACCAAGCCCAGCTGCGCTCACCAGCCTAGGGAAGAAGCTCCTTGTTCTACTTCAAACACAATTTCCTCCACAAAACACACTGCACTTCTTTGTACATTTAAGGCATTTAAGGCTAAGCAGTTTTCGGTTTCCTCCACGCTTTTTTTTTTTCCTTCTCACTCAACGCCAATCTCTCAATCAACAAGAGCAAAACAACTGCCTGAAATTTTCAGCCCCTTCAAAATAAACAAACTAAACTTCCCAGCAATAATTACACACAACCACGTTATCCAGTCAACACGCTGCTGTCAGATTATCTGGGATATAAACTTAACTGCAGTGTTGTACCTCCCCAAGCCCAAATTCAATGTAAATTTAATACGCGATAGTCTGAAACCACAGCTGAGCAATACGTTCTCCAGTGCCACCACTTGCTCATCTGCTTTTTCCAAGTTTACCACCTACTTAAAATGTCTACGTTAACTACTGCACTGCCAATAATATCAACGGATGCAACGAAGAAGGAGGTGGAACCTCATTTTTAATGGAAATAGAACAGTAACGCGGAGGGAAGAAAGCAGAGAAAAAAGACATAACATTTAGGAAAAAGCAGTCACAAAGACGACACTATCTTCCTACTGAATGATGAGTGTGACAGTAAGCAAGTGAATATGTACAAAAATAACTAAAGTGCTGGTTATTTTATGTCAGCAGGCAGACATAAAAGCTGGTAGGTGTTAAGTCATGGCTAGAATCCCCCTTCTAGGAGGTTAAAAATTGTTACAGTGAGGCCAAATAACCATTAAAGCAGCTCAGCTACGGACAGGAGCAGCTCCATATAGAACCTTCACAGCAACATCTCTTTTTGGCTGAGCTGCACCAGCAAAATACCAAGCAGACACTGAAAACAGGTAGTTCTCGGTCATGGAAACCACCCTACCAAGGAGGAAGGTGAGTTAAATCCTTCCGGCAGAAGGGGAGCTCATGAACCCCACCATGTGCAGCTCCAAGGGACCCATTCCCACACTATTTTAACCCACTCTTCGCTTCTAATCTCTTCTCCAGAGCCGACAGCACAACAGTGGCTCCCTGCCAGGAAAGGAAAACCCGTCACCCGGGCGGGGGACAGAGCCGGCGCCGGGCGCACCGCGTCCACACGCACCGCGTCCACGGGCCCTTTTTCAGCGGGCGCTGCTCCGAGCAGCCTGTGGAAAACGGGAGGCAACAGGAACTGGAAGCCGTAAGTCGGCGTCGTGAGGATGCCGGCAAGCACCTGGCTTTGAAACTCTACCAAAACACGCGGAAGACTCTCCTGTTTAGCCCTTTGAGATCCCCGAGGAGACCCGCGGCCTCCTGACCGTTGCACAAGGAGCTCCTGAGCACTTCGGCCACGTGGGCAGTCGAACACGTTGGGGAAATGTCCTTTTGGGAGGGAAGAGGAGGGAGGGTGATTCCGGGCCTCGAGCAGAGAAGTTCAGGGTTGCTGTGACCCAAGGAAGAACCTCCCACGACCGCTTTGTGCTCAAAGGCTGCTCGGTGCCCTAGTAACCCAGTAGGCCAGGAGCAACATTTCCTGGCCGCGATCTTCCCCGAGGGTGTCACCGGTGCCGATACCACCCGGCAGCTCGGGCAGCCCTTGTTCCAACTGGAGCATCCATGGGGATGCACGAGAATCACCCCCAGCCCTCCAAGGGAACCAGCTCATACGGAGCGGGGAAGCTTTCCAACCATCCCATTTGGAAAGAAGTCTCGCCACGTAAAGGATATTTCTGCTTCTCCACCTAAAACGCCTGCTTTAATATTCTCCCCCACCGCAGCGTTATCACAAATTAGCTACTGTCTATTCAAAAGACTGGGAGATCTGCACTAAAATCAGGGCAGGACAAAAGCTACTGTCCAAATTAGCTACTGTTCAAAAGACTAGGAGATCTGCACTAAAATCAGGGCAGGAAGCTGATGCCGTATGAGAAGTCAGGCATCTTTATCTTGGTATCGGATGGAAGATGATTGATCTGAGGGTTTCAGAAATAGTGACAAAGCCGGGAACGGAAAAACAGGCAAGAACCAAACGCGAATGGGAAGCGAAATTCAGATTAGATTCTGGAGACAATAACAAGCCCAAAGCAAGAACAAACTTCTTGTGGGGAGGTGGCAGCTAAGATGCATTTGTCTCCTGGGTAGTATGACATTTTTCAGGATATCTGGTCATTTTAGAGTGGTAGGAAAGAAAAAAATATGAAAGAAAGAAAAGAAAAAATATACTGCACTCTACAGCCCGGGAAAGGGCTTGGACGTGGCAAGGGTTGGACAGTGGAGGAGACAAAATCAGCTATTTTGCCCAGATCCTCAGTTCCCGAGGTGCAGAATGGAGGAATTCTCAATTCCTTTGGCATTAACAAAGCAATAATGAAAACAAATAAGATGGACCAGAGCGAAGGGAGCTCGGTCCAGCACTTGCTGCCTGTCAATGATCCCCTGCCAGGGGAGTGCAGTTGCTCGAGGTCCTCCCTTGGCCCTACTGAAGCGGCTCCATGCGTGGGACACAGCAAACCCCACGTTACCAACGTTAGCTGGGTTGGAAAGAGGCTTCTGAAGAGCCAGCTCCATGTTGCGTGTAAAAATCCCCTTGCCCATGCCCTTTGCTGAAGCCAGCTCAGCTCAGAGGAGTAGTTATATGACACACGTATCATTCGCTGGGCTGGTTTAATGAAAAATGAAATAAGAAGATGAACTGTTTGGTTTTGCTTTGAATTATGTCAGTCCAATGAAGAGTTAGCACCAGATTTCCTATAAAGCGGGTAAGGTCTTTAAGCAGAGAACCAGGCTTTTCAGCCTGAAGTAGATCCAAACCTGAGGACACAGACTATCAGAGCTAAAGGAAATAACTTTAACTTACAAAAAAAAAAGTTACCATGTCAGCAGCTGCCACTCAGGGACCATTTATAGCAGAATCATTTTTTATTCTTGCTTCTTTTAGAGCAATACATCGCCAGCAAAGGAATGTCTGGAGCCAGGGAGCGCCTGCCCGTGCTCAGAACTTGGTTCTGCCTCTCTGATACTTCCCTCCTAAGACACATGTTGAATGCATTTAACTGCAGAACACACTATTCCAAAAAAATAGAATGAGAAGAAATGCCACTCCCTTGACTAATTCCTTTAAGCTATTTATTTTGAACGCTTCCATATTTTCAGTACAAACTGGCATTAAAACATAGAATAAGTAAATATCTGGGGGAAACAAGCTTATTTTGCCCTCACAGAGATTTGTTACGTCCCTAGCAGCAAATTGCCTCTAAATTGAAATTCTGTCTCTCTTACTTTTCAAGCTACAAAATCATTTAATCTCCCTCCCCAAAATGCAAAGCAGACTGGGAAATCAGAGCAATGTAATCACATTGCACAGGCAATTTAAGGATCTATTAAATGTATGTAGGTCATGAGAAGTTAAAACTGCGGAAACAAAAATTTAATCTTTCGAAAAATAATAATGTAGGATATGGATGATGCTGCAGTTAATTATTACTCTTAGTATATTAACCGATGGTTTTTGACACTTACTATTTTTAGAACAGTAGGAATCCTATCTAAGGAGGCCACAGGTACGTTAGAAATGCAAATAATGACAGATCAGAAACCACAGGAAGGCCATAGTGATTTACACGGCAAGCAGATAACACTATTTGGTTAATGCTTAGAGCTAATTTTATTTTCTTAACCTCAGTGTTCGCTTTTTAAGTTAGGAAAATAGAACAAGCAGGTAGCAGCAAGAAGAAAAAAAAACTTTTAAAAAGTGACCTAAAGGACAGCAAAACTGTTTACTGCTAAGAGAGGATGTTGATATTTCAATCAACAAGCTAAATATAAAATAGCAGTAAAAAAAAATGAACTGGGCAAACCAGAAAGATCAACAAGGCTAGAGGAGCAAACGTGCTGAATGTCTGTGTTCAGGGAGCTGCTGATTCGGTTCCTGACCAGGTGGTGCAAGCTGTGCTGCTCGTTACAAGATGCTGTTGATTATGGGACACGCTGCGGTGTCACCTGGGCCCGCGCGGCACCCTGGCCAGCGTCACTGCTTGTTGCACTCGTGTGTGTCACATATATCACACCTAAAAGCACCTGAGCGAAATTCAAAGCCAGCCCCCTGGAGCACACGCGCTCCAGCTGCCCATGCCCAGCTGCGAGCAGGAATTAGCAGGTCTTCCCAAAGCTCTGTCCTTGCCCCTTCACTTGGGCCCAGCCTGACCAACGTTCTGTCTCAGACAGTGGCCAATATTTGACTTTTCAGGAAAAAAAAAAAAGTGCAAGAAGCTGCAGATTAAGCAGGTATGGGATGCTCTGGCCCCACACTGACTCTCCTTTAACAGAGGGAACTGCTGAAGCCCGGGGACGTGATGTTTTCTGTCTTTCTCTTCCTAAATTTGGCAACTTTACTAGGTAAAGCCTCCTTCTTCCTGACCTCAGCAACTCTCAGTGCCCATAAATCCTATGCCCCAATTGCACATTGTACAGAAAGAATCTTTGCATCCATTAGACAACTTTTAACTTAATTATCTCCCTTCTCATGTTACAACACAAAACCAGGAGCTCCTGGTCTGTTCCGTAGCACTACTGCATATATCCTTTTGTCTCCTCTTATTCATCTCTTTTTTTTGGGTAACAAGCCTTGTCTCCTCGGGCTTTCACCACATACTCATTTTTCTAAGCTCACGGTTGTTCTCCTGCACTGCTGGACATCAACCCAGGCTTTTTGGCTGCTGCTAACAGGCAGACAAAGTTTTGCTAAAGTAAATAGACCTGGAGGGAACAGAGTGGCAGTGAGTCCTTAAGCAGGTATTTCCTGCCATTCCCCAGGGTGGTAGTCACAGAAAAAACAGCCCCAGTGCCCACACCAGGATGACACATTCACATGCTGGTGCCCAAGCAAATGCTCCACCCTTTCTTCTTCCCCAGTGCAGCCCACAGCTACCCCCATCTCTTCCCACTTTCTCAGCTCCCACCTTGGCTTCCACCTCAAAACATGCCCCCCAGTTTTCTCTCCTCCCCATTTCAACCATTTTCACATAACTTTCCAGCTAAGGGGTCTTTCGCGAAACAAGCGCAAACA